ATAGATAGATAGATAGATAGATGATAGGTAGATAGATAGATAGATAGCTCTAGTGTAGATGAACTGTGACAAGCCTTGTGAGCATGTCACATACTTTGCTTGCCTCCTGCCCTGTCTTGTGTGATGATTGACATTCTCCCCTGCATCTGTAAACCAAAAGAAATCCTTTCTCCATTATGTTGTTTTGGTCAAGACATTTTATTACAACAACTGAAAAGTTACTACACCACAAACACACCAGCTTATGAGAATGCACTTCCATGCAAAGTTTATAGAAAATCCTCTCTCTCTCTCTCTCTCTCTCTCTCTCTCTCTCTCTCTCTCTCTCACACACACACACACACACACACACATTTTATAGATTATGTATGAACACAAGACAAAAGGGTCAATGCTCACAACAACAAACAAAATGCTCTCTGAATATTATTGCTACAAAGCCCATCTAGCTTTAGTTAATGGGCTAAATGTGACAAAAATAAAAATAATAAGTCATCATAGTGATTTCATTATATTTAGGGCTATCTTACATGGAAGTTATTTTGTGACCATCATGCCTGTGTATACCATCAGTCTGTCTAGGAATCAAACTTTCTTTCTCCTTGTTAGAATTCTGCTTCTGTCTAGCCTGATAATTAAATTAATGTAAAAAAATCAACAAAAGTATACATAATTGTTAAAAATGGTACATAAATCAGGAACTTCGGTGGGGAAATAAAAGTTCCATGACATAAAACTTTACATTCTGTGTCAAACAATGACAGGTAAGTATTGAATAAAACAACTAAATTATGTGGCGAGGCTAGAAGAGGAAAGATGCTTTTAAAAGATCAGTGCACAATTCTATAGGTTTTAACACCCTGTCTTTGATGATAATAATGTTGCTTCTCTCCACATGGGAAAGTATCTTCCACCTGGGTACTTTATTTCCTAACTTGTAGGAAACAGAATGAAGGTCAGAGTGAGACTCTTGCACCTGCTGTTTGTGAAGTGTCTTTAGCTCAAAATAATTCATATGCCAAAGTAGAAGATTAGGGGGTGGTTTGTTCTAAGTGGTGTATTTTGGGACAGCGTGTTCAGAATTCTAATGTATCCTTATGAGGGAGGAGTGTTAGCCACAACTTAGGCTCTTAAGGGCTTTGTTTCTAATTTAACAACTAATTCTAAAGAAGTATAGTCACAAATTCCAAGGGACTAGAAAAAAGACTTGTACAAAGAAGCTTTTTAAAAAGCAATAGTTTTTATTTTTTGTTTGTTCATTTGTTTGTTTTGTTTTTTGTTTCTCTAATATTTTCTGTGATTGAGTAGAAGAAACATGTTTTACTTGACAATTAAAATTTCATACAACTCATACATGAAAACAATTAGGGAGTAGCCAAGTGTCAGAAAATAAAATATACCTTTAACTCTTGTGAGGTACTTATTTCATTTCATGTCATTATGATTCTATTAGCAAGACATTACTTTGATAACACATGGCACTAGGAACCTATTACCTTCAACCTGAGATGACTGTAAGGACTATTCCTAAATATATAAAAACATTTAAGCTAAAGAGGGAGGATTTGAGAAAGACAAAAGTGATAAACATTTAAAATGGAAAGCTGGTGACTACCATTCCAGGTCTATATGATCTTTGTGAGCTTTTACCAGACAGCTGACCTAGGGCCTTTGGATTTTACCCTTTACAACAACCAAGCCATGGTTTACCATCAATAAAAACAGAAAATAAAATCTGATTGTCCCACTAAACATAGAATGCATAAAATAAAGTGATAGAGCATGTAGAATTGATTTAAACTATTATTTTTAAAAATAATAGCAAACATGTAATTTGTTTCAATATTTACCTTGCTGAAAGAAGGCAAGAACACTCTGCTAGAGTTTCAAATCCATGTATTTTAATCTCAATTTTAATTCTTCAGTTTTCTCTTCTTAGTTGAGAAAGTATTCTGTTTAGGCTTCTATACATACATGTACAGAAGCCAGACATCATGTTTCTCTCAGATATGTTAGCCTGTTTCAACTACCATAGCAAATCACCCCAGACTAAGTGTCCATTTTAGTTTGTTCAGACTACTATAATAAGTTAATCCAGATTGAGTGATTGTGTTTGCCTGTCCCAACTACCATAACAATTTAAGTTAAATGTCTGTGTTAGCCCTGTTCTAAGTACCATAACAAATTATCACATCAGGTGTTTTAAACAACAAAAACTGATTATCTCATAATATGGAGGCTAAATGTCCAAGTTCAGGTATTAAAAAGGATTGATGGTTCTGAGGCTTGTCCTTGGCTTGTAGGATGATCATTTCTTCTTTACTTTCATGGCCTTCTTTCAGTTAGAATCCTTTTCTGTAAAGGGAGCATCAAAACAACATCTAAAAATACATTTACATTCTGAGCTACTGTGGCTAGTATTTCAAGATACAAGTTATGAATAATACAGTTTGCAACACTAATTCATAGAATTTTCATTAGCTATACTGTCATTTATTTCTCACGAAAGAAAACACATTGTTTTTATAATATATCTGGTGTGTGGTCAAAATTAAGTCATTGTATTTTTTGATCATAAAATATTGAAACAACTTATACCATCAAAATTGCCATCTCATTGATAATTACCATATTTCATTAACATTTAGTAAAAATCACAGAATCACCCTATACTATTTTAGTAAAAAGTTAAAGCTTTTTAAAGCAAAAATAAGCATAGTAACTTCATTTACAACTTGAATTACATAGGCCAAATAATATTTTAGAGATAAATATGTCAGCAGAAATTAACATTTTAAAAAGTAAAATGAGGATGTTAAGATGAAATATTAATCTATTCACATGTTTAAATATAAAAGTCAGGTTTAATATAAAGTTTTGTTTTAAGTTTCTTAGTTCTTCACATAAGAAAGCAGAAAATTTTCTTAGATTTTAATTGAGGAGAATATAAAACAAACATAACTTCATTGTAACCAGCAAAACTATAAACATGAATTAATTTCTAGCACATCCAGAATTTGTGGTCACATGAAACTTAATATGTATATTTGGATTTTGCATGTCTATAAAAATCATATTTATAGATAATGAATATGGCCTCCTTCCTTTAGTAAGGTTAAGCAAGTAGAATTTTTGATCACCCTTTCTGTTAAAAAAAATCACCTCTTTTTAGAGTACAAAAAATTATAACTGTCTAAGTAGTGAATGACAGAAGAAAGGCAAAAAACAAATTCTGAATATATTTAAAACATACTAAGCTGAACACAGGTCCCATTTTCTAGGAGGAGAAAGGGGGAAAGCCTGGAGTCAAACTAGGCCTTTTCAAAAAGAGCTGCTGTCTGCTGATTATCTAAGGAGTTTTATACTAATGATACTTTTACCGACAAACCTCGTGGCAAATGAATAAGTAAGCTAAACTTCAGATCTTAATCTTGTACAATGTATCATTTCAAAGTCTTTATCCCACCTCACTCTTGAGGATTAAGAAAAGGTAACAGTCAGAAATCCATATAATTAAAAGCATTTTATCATTCAACATAATTATTCATGGGAATTGTAAATCCCAATGATTCAACAGAAAACTTCCAAACAATCAAGAGATAAATCACTGACCAGACATTTGCATGTATGTTCATTTGATGAGTATACTGTATATCTTACAACAAACTTACTCTGTCTTCTTGCAGGTCATATTCAAGTCATAGGACGAGGCAGGCATAGTATAAATCCATAAAAGTAGCTTCTAGTGCTTCTAATATTAATATAGATACTATGGTAGCATGCTGATTTCAGAAGATGGTCAGAGGAGTCCTTTTTGAATGAGGTCCTCAAAAAGTTTTCATCTAAACAATGTTACATTTAATAGTGACAGGTGAGGCTTCATTAATCACAGTGAACCACTAATTGCAAGGAACACTCCAGGAAAACCAGAGTATATATTTGCCCACTGCCACTGGTTTAAGGTAAGCTGAAATCACGTGGAAAGAAAAGAGTTCATGTATAAGAACATTATATGTGATAGTATAACCCCATGAGGTGGGATGAATGTTCTTAACTAAAAACTTAAAAAAAAAAAACCAACATTTCTTATATGCACAGCATAGGATAATGAAGTGTCCAGGTCATCCAGCTATGCCTCTAAGACCTAATCTGATCTATGCTATCACAGGGACTTAGAAGATAGCTCTGCATCATTGTTTATCCCTATTCATGCCCTTTCTTGTCACAGAAGCAAGGTAAAGATGCAATACCAAAGGTTACTGCAACTGACCATGTCTTCACAAATTCCATATTTCTGCTACCTCACAACATGATGTATACTGATAGTATACCTTGCCCTAACCTACAAGATAAATCAGAGAAAAACACATGAATAATTAATGTGCATCTACAATAACAATGTAAGAAAAGAACATGAACCTAATGTACAATTATAACCCAAAGAATGAAAATCTCATACAACAGGCTCCAAACTACCAAAACCCTTCTGGTTCATTTGTATGTTCAGTGGGGCATTGTATGTTCAGTAGCATGAGTACAAGTGTAAGCAATGTGATTGAAGAAGTGAAAAAATTCTACCAAATGAGCATCCGGTACTAGATATATTCACTACTTAATTTTCCCAGACCTTTAATAAGTAAACAGCACCAGTTTTACTCAAACTATTTGATAAAACAGAAAGATAAAGTAAATGTCCAACCTCATTCTATGAAGTTATTATTCACTTGATACAAAAATCAGATAAGGACAAATCAAAAACATAGTGCAAAACCTCCAATGAAATACTTTCAAATTGAATTCAACAATGAATTTAAATATTCATATACCTTTTCCCCTAGAGGTGTTTCAGGTGTGGCTGCTGTGTCACATGTGCATCAGTACATGGAAGAGAAGAGAGAGCCTATGTCTATGCTCAATGTTCTGAACTATGAATATCTGAATGATTAGTAGCCTAACACTTCCTGGGAAAAAAAGCAAGCCTGAAGTGCGCACCAGTCCAGCTACTGCGGGCCTGGACAGGCAGCCAAAGGGAGGCTGCTATGATTTGTCATGAGAAAGTCCTGGACACAGAGCAGTCCAGAGACTAGAAGAACCCCACCTGGGACAGCGGGACCTGGGCTGGAGTGAGCCTGAGACACATAACCCAGGTAAGGGGCACTTGGGTGGGCCAGGTAAGAAGTAAGCCAGAGAAGACTATCAGATGGGTGTTATGAAGCCAAGATAGGAAGCTAGTCTCAGATGACCACCAATCTGATGTCATAATGAACAAGCAAGCATAGCATTCCTGTGACCACTTTTATTTTTGGTGGGCAACTATGTATTTATTGTGTTTGGGAGGCAGAATAAGGAAGAAATCCCAGCAGGAAGAAGACTGGGTGCCGTATAGAATTCCTGGTCAAGAGTAGGAAGGTTTCTCCTATACCCATCATATAATGAGAGGGGGGGCGGTGTCAATAGATCATTCCGTTTATTTCTCTTCAGGGCTTCTTGAGCTTCTCAAAGTTCTTCAAGATGATGTCATATAACACAGCATAAGCATTACGAATCATCATGACCATCAGACGGATCTCCTGATATTCTGCCTTGTACAGCTCATGCACCAGCTGGTGATAATCACCCACGTAGGACTGTTTGGCTGCTTTGGCCACTACATCAACCTTCTTGGAGAAGTACTTAGAGATCTGCATGTGGAAGCTTTCCAGCTTGGTATGAAGGCTGGTCATCAGCTGAAACACCATTTCCTGGATGGCCACACCAAAATTATTCCCATCATCTATCCGAGGTATATGTAACTGTAACCAGTTAGTGACCAGGTTGAGTTGCTCAACGACATCCTTGATCTGGAGTTTTAGGCATTGCAGGAGGACCACAATCTTCTCACTGCAACAACTTCTAAGATGACTCCCAACACTCAGAGGCTCTGGGCAGCATTAAGAGGAACAAGTAAGTAGTGAAGAAATACAAACAGAAGGATGAGGGCTCAATTAAGAGAAGTATAACTGAAAATCTGAGGGTAGTAAGAAATAACCTGATGTGAGTAGATGGTGTTGATACCTGAGACCATGGTGGGCTCCTGGCTGGTTATTTCACCAACAGACATACCTGGGTCCAAGGCCCAGCAGCAGTGGAGATCTGTTACTACCAAGACCAGGCAGATGTCCCTGGTCTGGATTGCCATCTGGGGACATATTGATGTCCCAGAGCTTTGCAGAACTGACTCTACCCATCACCAGGGCATCATGGGAGACCGGGTCCTGTAGGTGTGACATCAGAAGAATGACCCTACTCTTAGCCAGTTGTAGTACTTGGGAGAACAGGGGCCCCATATGTTGCAGGAGTTGTGGGTAAGCAAGGCCCTAATGTCATAAGTGCAGGAGAGCTGGCCCTGCGTTTGTCTGCTGTTCAGTAGTAGTAGTAATAGTAGTAGTAGTGACGTCATCATCATTGCTGTCTGTGAAGGAGGAGGAAGAAGAAGAATAGAAGGTGAAGAGGCTCAAATCCAAAAGCCAGAAAGTATTTTCAACAAAATTATAGAAGAAAAATTCCCCAACCTGAAAAGTGATGCCTATAAACATACAAGAAGCTTATAGAACACCAATTAAATTGGAACAGAAAAAAAATCCTCCCTCCACATAATAATCAAAGCCCAAAATCTACGAAAAAATAAATAACAGCTGCAAGTCCTAGAAACATACAAAGGTAGGCCTATCAGAATTACACTCAACTTTTCAACGTGACTCTAATAGCTAGAAGTCTTTGTACAGATGACTTGTAGCCTATAAGAACCTAAACTACTATACCCACCAAAACTCTTAATTAACATAGATGGAGAAATCACAATATTCTAAAATGAAAACAAATATAAAAAATGTCTATCTATGAATCCAGCCCTATAGAAAATGCTATGGGAAAACTCTAAAACACAGAGGTTAACTATAACTAAGAAAACACAGAAAATAAATAACTACACATCAGCAAAAACAAAACAAGGGTAGCAAACACACAAAGACGCATACACACAAACACTACCAATATCAAAATAATGGGAATTAACAATTAATGTACAATTAACACTGAACATTAATATCTCTCAACATCAATGGACTAAATTCTCCAATAAAAGACACAGGATAACAGAATGGATTAAAAAACAGGGTCCGTCATTCTGCTACGTACAAGAAATATACCTCAGAACAAAGATAGACATTATCTTAAAGGGCTAGAAAAAATTTAAAAAATTTTAAAGCAACAGATCCAAGAAGCAAACTGAAGTAACCATTCTAATATTTAATAAAATAAACTTTTAACAAAAAATTAATCAAAAGAGATGAGAAAAGACACTTCATACACATCAAAGGAAAAAAATCACCAAGATGACATCTCAATTCTGAACATCTATGCCACAAATGCAAGTGCACACATATTCGTAAAAGAAGCATTGTCAAAGTTTAAATCATACATCAAACCCCACAGGAGGTTTCCACACCCACTCTCATCAATAGACAGGTCATCAAGACAGAATCTAAACAGAGAAATAATGAAACTAACAGATGTTATCAATCCAACATCTACAGAATCTTTCACCCAAACACAAAATAATATAACTTCTTCTCAGCACCACAGGAAATTGTTTCCAAATATGACATATAGTCAGTCACAAAGCAAGCCTCATCAGATACAAGAAAATTGAAGTAACTCCCTATAGTCTTATCAGACTACTATAGATTAAAGATGTACTTCAACAAAAACAGAAATAACTGAAAGCCTAAACTCATGGAAACTGAAAAACTCTCTGACCAATGACCACTGGGTCAGGGAAGAAATAAAGAGATCAATGACTTTCTAGAATTCATTAAAATGAAGGCACAATATACAAGCAAACTTATGGGACACAATGAGAGTAGTACTAAGAGGTAAGTTCATAGAAGTAAGTGCCTTAATAAAGAAACTGGAGATGTCATACTAGTGATTTAAAAGTATACCTAAAAGCTCTAGAAAAAAAGAAGCAAACATACCAATGAGGAGTAGACAACACCAAATAATCAAATTGGGGCTAAAATCAATTAACTAGAAACAGAAAAACAATACAAAGAATCAATAAAACAGAGTGCTGTTCCTTTGAGAAAATTAGCAAAATAGACAAATAATTAGCCAAAGTAACAAAAATGCAGTATCTAAATAAACAAAATTAGAAATGAAGAGTCACATAAGGAAGGCAGACACTGAGGAAATTCAAAGAATCCTTAGGTCTTATTTGAAACCCTGAACCACACAAAATTCAAAGATCTAAACAAAATGGAGGATTATCTACATAGATACCACTTACCACAATTAATCAAGATCAGTAAACTGTCTAAATAGTCCTATAACCCCTAAGGAACTAGAAACAATAATTAACTCTCCCAAACAAACAAACAAACAAACAAAATCCCAGAGTTTTACACAATTTTACCAGACTTTCAAAGAAGATATAATCCAAATACTCTTCAAAGTATTCCACAAAATAGAAACAGAAGGAACATTGCCAAACTTGGTCTATAAGGCCACAGTCACTGTCATACCTAAATTACACAAAGACTCAACAAAGAAAGAAAATTTTGGGTCAATTTCTATTATAAATATTGATGCAAAAATACTCAATAAAATACTCACAAACCAAATCCAAGGACACATAAAAACTTCATCTATTACGATCAAGTAGGCATCATCCCAGAAATGTAGGGATGGTTCATTGATAATCCATCCATGTAATCTACCATAGAAAAAAACTGAAAGTAAAAAATTCACATGAACATCTCTTTAGATGTTGAAAAAGTCTTTGACAAAATGTAAAATCTCTTCCAAATCTTCTTCCATTTCCTACCTACTCCACTTTAAATTCTTTTGCAAAAAAAAGACTCAAAATAACAACAAAAGCACCCCAAACCAAGAAAACAAATTAAAAATTATACATCAAAGAGAGAAAATACAAATGCCATCAAACTTTAACCAAATAAAGTATAATACACAAACACACACACACACACACACACACACACCACAAACAAATATATACAGTGGAGTTCAAATATATGTTGCTAAAAGTCTCCTGAATATTAGGCCTGTCTTGGTATGGCTATACCTAGTGTCACTCTATTGGAGAAAACTGTCACCTCCCAATAGGGCTAAGTGCTAAGCTTTATGCTAGTAGCTAGGTATTGATTGATTGATTGATTGATTGATTCATTCATTCATTCATTCATTATTTCAAACATAGCAATAATAATAAAAATGTAAAATAAAACTATCACATTAAAGTTGGGGGAGGGGAAACATATTTTCAAAATATATTCAAATTTAAAAATTGTTTTAAGTAATAAAAATGTAATAATAATAATAAAACAAAAAGGACTATAAAGAAAAAATGAATTCCCAATAATCAGGTATCTTATAAAATAGTGATCAGTTGTTTATTTTAAGTTTTACGTGATATGACTCTTTAGAGAGACTTACGTAGTGAAGAGAGATTTTGTTTAAACCAGGTAGTATAGTTTTCACACAGTTAGATCTTAAAATTTTAGGTAAAATGATGAAAATATAATCATGTGAATATACTTATTAATAAGTTTTACATCCATAAACTCAAAAAAGCTTAATAAGAGTTTGTGAGTGTTCAGATGGATGTAACTGCAGACTCTATTGTAAGAATATAAAATGTACATACAAAGAAGGAGGATATACCTCATCCTAAATGTTAAATCCTGGAAAATAGTTTTCAATTATTGCTTTATTATGTAGTATGAATACATTTCTATGTTCAATTACTCAATACCTACATAAAATATTAAGGCCTATTCAGAACAAAAAAGAAAGAAACACTTTTTTTTTTTGTGCTCTCCAAAAGGTTGTAATTATGGAGAGGAATATAAACAATTAATAAGACAATTAATACAAGTTTCACACAATAAGTAGTAGCTTGA